ATCCGTAATCCAAAGCAGGGAGATAAACAGAATGGGAACAGCCTTCCCTGGAAATTTCCACCAGGCACTGATTCCCTGGGTCAGACTGCAGCTGATTCCATGTGTTAGAGCTGTTCTCCCTGATTGCTTTTTTCCCAGAGCACTCAAGGAAGGTTCTGCCGGGTGGGATTGTCCCTCAGCCTTAAACGGCTTTGGCTCTAGGATCTCTGAATGTTTTTGGAATGTTCTTAAACCTATGGAAAGCTTAGTCACTCCTGGCTTGGGAAGCCTTTGGGGTCTCATTAAACTTGCAAGGCGTGAGGTCAGAGACACTACCTCATCCTTCCCAGGAGGTGACCACAGCAGTGTCTGAGCCTCGGAGAACTCCAGGAGGAGCAGGAATCCGACAGCAGAGGATGGAATATCTGGGATCCAGCCCCCTGCTCCCCTTTATCCCCAGCCCATGATGTAGGGGTTCCCCTCTGTGCCAGTGTTGGGGAGAAAGCTGCATGTGGAGTGGGTGCTGCTTTGTCTGGGTCTGCGAACCCATTGCTGGTGCACAGAAAATCTGTGTGTATTCCCATGTGAAATCCAAGGATTCATCTGCAAAGCCCTTTAGGATGAAAGGAACTCTACGAATTAATTCTCACTGGATGAGGACCAGGAGGCTGATGTTTGTGGAGTGTGGATGTGTTTACAGAAGAGCCAGATGTGAGCTGGGATCCATGGAACTCAGATCTGCCCTCAGCAGGCAGCACAGTGGATTCACCTTCAGCTTCCAAAGGTGCTGCTTTTCTTCCATGGAAAAGGCAAAGCTGATGGCACTGACATTGTCCTGTGGTTTTCCTGTGCCTCCAGCTCTGTGATTTCTGTATTTCCTCTTTCTGTTGGCCCCTCCACAAGGAGCCACCCCCTGGAATTGGTTTTGGACACATGGCCATGGCTCTCCTGGCTCGGGAAGGCAACAGAGCTCTGCTCCAGGGCTTTGGGGACTGTGAGCACTGTGCTCTGAGGTGCCTCCCCAGGTGAGGTTAGGCAGGAGGAAGGACACATCCTCCCGGGCCTCCCGGGGTGTGTGGGAAGCAGCAGAGCGCGGCACCGTTTCCAGCTGGAGCGTTGCACAACCAGCACGTGCTGCTTGGCAACCTCAACACAGCCAAACTGAGGAAGGAGTTATGTTGTCAAGACACAGACACACAGGTCAGGGTTAAGACTCCTTGGGAGTGAAGATGAGGATGTTGCAACAGACACTTCACCCCATTTCCCAGCTGGGTGAGGGCAAGAACATCTGAATATTCCATGGGAGCATTTTCCATTGCATCTTCTGCCCTCGAGCAGCCTTCTCTGCCCAGCTGGTTCTGGGAAACAGCTGGATGGATTTGGAGGTTGCTAGGAATGTACCTTGGTTTGATTACTCAGTGCTGAGGTGGTGCTCAGTGCCCCAGCTGGGGGATCCCTCCCTGGGGCTCCCTGCACCCTGTCCCTGCTGAGCCAGTGACTGCAGTGCTGTGGTGTCACTGAACTGCTCCACCATCACCTTCCCAGGCATCACAACCTCCACTCGCTGGGGGAAGAGATTCCTGTGTTCTACAGACCCTTTAAACCCCTTGGATCATTGGATTTGGGGACTGGCTGCCTTTATCTCTTATCACTGGTATTTGTGGCAGCTCAGTGCACCATGACAATGTCATCCTTGATGTCATCATCCTCGAAGGGAATTGCATTTTACAGCTGCCTCAACATCCCC